AAAATTACCTGGGGATTTCAGTATGATGTGGCAGATTAAAAAAAAAAACTATTTTCAAACTTTGGCTACATTAAGAGAAGCATAGCTCCCAGAAATAGAGAGGGGATAGTTCCTTTGTATTCTGCCTCCATCTCCATTCCATTATCTGGAATATTATGTTCAGCTCTGGGTACCCTGATTTAATAAGGACACCAATAATCTGGATAATGTTCAGAGTAGGCAATCAGATGGTGAAGGGCCTTCAATCCATATCACAGGAAGATGAGTTGAAGGAACTAAAGTTGTTTAATCTAGAATAGAGAAGATTATGGGGCCACAACAGCTGTCTTCAAGTCTTTTAAGGGTATCATATGGAGGAGGCATTAAACGTGTTCTGTTTGGCCCCAGAGTGCAAAAACAAAAGTGAAATGGGCTGCCTTAAGAGGTGTTAGGCATCACTAATGTGAAAATATGTTTAATAGGAATGTGTGTATATATATATATATATATATATATATATATATATATATATATATAGCCTGTATCAAATTGGGAAAGGAAGTAGGGAGGGAGGAGGAGAAAAATTTAAAACTCAAAAGCTTATGGAAGTGATTGTTGATAAATCAAAATAAATTAATTTTTAAAAAAAGATGTGTTAGGTTCCTCTTCCTTGAAGGTTTTCAAATAGAGAGTGTCATAGTGAGAATGCCTTTCACATATGGATTGAACTACTTGGTCACTTGAACTCTCTTCTAACTCAATTCTGATACCGTGGAAAGGGCTTAGCATAGAGGGAAGTAGGGTAGGAAATTTATTTTGAAAGAGTAACACCCTGGGAATTCAGAAGAGCTGGAGAATAGGCCAAAGGACTACGGAGAGGGGGAGTCTCCTTACCTTTGCACCCACAAGCCCCAATGAAAAAGTTAATGAGCTCCAGGAATCCTGCATCTTGATCCTGCTTGTAGCTCTCCAGCCAGTCATCCACCACAGTCTACAGCAGGAATGTCAGGAAGGAAAAAATGGAACTGAGAGGTACCAAGGATAAAATCCAGACATGTATACTTCACACCCAAGTTCTTTCTCTGGCTTATAGTATAGCTCATTGCTTCCTCAGCCCACAATCACAGAGCTTCTCCTATCCTGAAAAGTCTCCAGAAAGGAGGCACTCCTACCCTCACTTCCCAAGCCTCCATACATCCCTCAATGTTTGAGAGTTTTCCCTGAGATTCAGTATCTATCTTTCCTATCTCAGCTTACGTTCACTAACATATCTATACCGATCCAAGGCTGTAGACTCCCTTCCCATCATACAGAGAGTAAGTCAATGAAAGTGATCAGAACTGTGCCTTTACCTGCATGGCACTCTTGGCAGTCTTCACAGCTTCTAAGAGATCACTAGCAGTGGGTTTCAAATTCCTATGGCCATCACAGTCCTTTCGGGACCCCTTCCTTGGATGCTTGGCCACCTGGGGAAGGATAGAGAAAGGGTGTGAGAATGGAAGATTACGATCCCTATGTACAAAAATGATGCAAATAATGCTACTATGAGCAAAGGGTAGTAGTTAAATGTGTCCAAAGACTGAGAAATGGCTAAACAAACCAAATGTAGTGGAATGTTACTCTGCTGTAAAGAATAATAAATAAGAAGAATTCATAAAACCATGAGAACATTTGCATGAAGTGACAGAGAGCAAAGAACACAGTGCCAAAAGAACAATTAACAATGATTTTGAAAATAAAAACAACAATAATCAGGTCAAATGGACAATGTTTGTACCAAATTATTCAAGCTGCAGTATACATCCTTTCAGTTAATAAGAGTTAAATGTACTATAAGTTCAAATCACTGTACCAGAAAATTTTGATTACCCTTTTCAAGGATGTACTTTATAGTAGTTGGTTGAGAAGTGTCTTTGATATCAAAACAAAATTTTATCAATAAGGAAATAATAGGGCTATGAGTTAGAAAAAAAAACCCAAAATTTAACTGCAACCCTCTTTCTTCTCTTCCACTCCATCTACTAACAATAGATATGAAATTACAAACCAAAGGAAAAGTATTTCAGCTGTTAGCTTAAATTAAAGCTTTTAAAACTATTAAAGACACAATTAATTTTAAACTGATTTCACAGAATTTTAACATGAGAGGCCCCTTAGAGATAATATAGTCCAAACTTCTCATTTTACAGATGAGAGAACTGAGGTCTAGAGAGGTGAAGTCACATGCCTAAGGTCCCACAGCTAAGTAGCAGCAGAGTTTAATCTCCTGACTAGTTTAATCTCCTCACTACCTGGCTAGTGTTCCTTTATCATGCTGATTTGCATGTTGTTCATTTAATAGCTAAATAGAATTGGATCATGAACCATCATTGTTGCTTTTCCCCAATGCCCCCCAAACCCTATTCCTGTGTCCCTCCATATCCTTACTGCCTTACCCCTTATTCTATTTCTTTAGCTTTATTTCTCCTTTCCATTATCCCCAACTCTGTTCTTTCTCATTCAATGTCTTTTCAGGTATCCTTTCCACCACCCCATTCCCAATATCTTTCTGTCAGTTCATTTACCCACCCCCATTTTCCAAATCAGAGAGCATTAAGACTAGGACTCACTGGGATGGTCTTGGGTTGTTTTCTGGCCACCCTCTTCTTCATCTGCTGCTTCCCGACATCTTCAAAGTCACCGTCACTATTCCTATGAGAGAGCATGGTTCTCCTTAGCTATATTCTCTCAAGCTCATTTTAACACTCATTCTATTATGCAGAAGGAAAGAAGCTGGGTTATTTTTCTCTCTTTCTCCCTAACCTCTCCCTCCCCAATGAAAAAACATCTGCCCTCCAGAGCTAACTATCCTCAATCTTCTCTAAGGAAAGGAGAGACTCGTTCACTGTAGCCAGAGCTGTATAAATTAGAGCTATCCCTTGATTGACAGCATGAGATCCAAGAATGAAGTAAAAAGAATTGTTGATACAATCCTTTCCTAGAGATCCCCTGGAATACATGCAATTAACCAAGCTGTCATAGGAATTATCCTGCCTATGGAAATGGCTGACCTCAGGAACATGAGAATGGTGCCAAGGAGTCAAAAATGCCTACATTAGTCATATGAGTGGAACATTTAGGTATTCTATAAATTGAATTGTACCCCTTATAGTATAATGACACATATTAAAGGCCTAATTGTACATGGTTAGTTTAAAGCACCACTGCTAGTTACATTCCCCAAATGCAATATTAAGTGCGCTAGTAAAAAAATGTTTCAAAGGAGAATAACTAAAATAATCAAGTCAATGAAATAAATTCCATGTGGATTGATGGGGGAGGTGAGTGCATCTAGACCTTTATTTCTTCTTTGTGAAACTGAAGTAAAAACTCCCAGTATGGAAATTCATGCACCAGTGCAGATCAGCAAAACATCTGTAACATAATCTTAGAACAGGGATTCACAGACTTGTGGCCTGTGAACTTATTTTTTTTAATATTATTTTGACAACTGTATTCTAAATAAATTTTCTTTATAATCTTACACATTTTATTTTATGCATTTAAAAACATTTTGAGAAGAGGACCATAGGGTTTGTCAGATTTTTAAAGGCATCCATGACACAAAAAAGGTTAAGAAACCTAGTCTTTGAGAGTTATTGGGGTGAAATAAGAATATGTTATTTTTAAAGTTGGGTTACGTGTATGTGTTTGGAAAGATAAAGGCTCAGAGAAAGGGATATGGATGAATTCTGTGGATAAGACAAATATGTAGGTTCTTGTCCCAAACCTAGCACATTAGAACTAGAGACATCAAAGGAGTCTTAGTAAATTCAAGAATACTTTCAATAAATTTATGGGGTAACAAATTTGTAACAGGTAATTTAGACTAAGTTAAGAATGGACCTCCCCAAAACAGATGTCTATATCATAGAAGGCTCATATTTGTTCCCCTGGCTGGAATTTACCACCCTGATTTCCACCTGTAAAAAATTCTATCCATCTTTTCTGGTGCTATCAGCTATAAGTGACATCTCCCTCTCCTTGGCAACCCAGTAGTACCTACTATATGCTGAACATTGCTGGGCACTAGGACAAATACAAAAATGAATATGATATAGTCTCTGCCCTCAGAGATTACAGTCTAACTAGAGAGGTAAGATACATACCCTAGCTCTTTCCTACCTTTCCAGTCTTTTCACACTTTACTTCCCTCTCCATGTACTCTACAATTCAGTGACAATGGCCTCTTTACTGTTTCTCATATAAAATACTCTATCTCCCAACTCTATATTTCACTGGCTATCCCCTACCCCTGGAATGCTTTTCCTCTTCATTTCTGGCTGCCTTCAAGTCTCATTTAAAATGCCACCTTCTGAAAAAAAAAGCCTTTCCCATCCCTCTTAATGCCAGTGCCTTCCCTATGAGATTATCCTCAATTTATCCTGTATCTATCTTGTATGTACAAAGTTGTGTGAATGTTGCCTCCCCATGTGAAAATGAGCTCTTTCCCCCTTAGCACTTAGCACAGTGCCTAATACCCAGGAAGCTCTTAATAAATGTGTGTTGGCTGATGATGTACAAAAATATGCATTACTACATAAGCATTAATTATACAATAACTATGGCACAGAAAAGACAACAGAACATCTGTTAGAAGAAAAATCATTATCACATTTTTCCTTGTCTTACAGCTATTTGTGCACATCTTATATTACGCTAGTAGACTGCGAACTCTTATAGAAAAGGAGTAGTCCAATCATCTCAAAATCTCTTACTTCACTCAGCATGGTTTTCTACAAGTAGCAGGTACTCAATACATGTCTGTTGAGTGAACAGCAGAAGATCAAACATTTGCTATGCTACAAAGCATTTCTATATTAACATCAGTCTAAATTCTGGGTTAGATGTTGTTCTGAACCTGGATAGATTTTATTCCATTCTTATAGGAGGGTATAATTATATTATTATTAATGCAATAAGAGATGATTAGTTTGGGGAAATAGAAGGGATTCATTCATTTAATAATAACTTATCAAGCACCTGCCATGTGCAAAGCACTTTGTTAAGTACTGGGGGAGATATAAAGATAAATAAGAATTGGTCTCCCATCCTCATGGAGATCAGACAATGACAGAATACAGGCACAGGGCTATACAATTACTCCTTAGCCCTACTCACCCAACATCTGAAACCAAAACAGAATTCCTCTCTTCACCCCAGGGAACACTGGCAGAAGAGGTAGATGAAGCAGATGAAAACCTCTGACTAGCTGGCCTCCCATTCTGCCATGGAGATGATCCAGAACTGGAAGAGTAGCCATGGCACAGAGATGAGGAGCGCATCACAGGCATAGTGATGAGTCTGAAGAAGGCAAAGGGGATACCATTTCAAAGCTCAAGTTCTTGCCAGTCAAAAAGCATTTATTAAGTGCTTACTATGTGCCAGGAACTGTGCTAAGCACTGGGGATATCAAGTAAGAAAAAAACAATCCCTGCTCTCAAGGAGTTCAAATTCTAAATAAGAAGATATCATGTAAATATCTAGGTACATATAAGAAGCATACAGCCTTAGATGGAAGGTGAAGATACTAACCACCATGGGATTTGGGAAAGGCCTCCTGAAGAAGGCATAAGGCAGTATGATTTGCACTGTCTTGAAAAGCCAAGGAAACTAAGAAGCTGAGGTGAGGAAAAGGCATACTTGAGGCATATGGGACAAATGGTGAAAAGACAAATATGGAAGATGGAATGTCCTACAGCAGGAAAAGCAGTCAGATCAACGTGAATGGATCATAGAAGGGAGTAAAGCTTAACAAGACTGGAAGGGACCAAGTTGTGAAGAGCTTTAAATGCCAAACACAGGCCTTTGTATGTAATCTTAGAGATTGCTGACAAAAACTAACTGGAATTAATTAACTAGGAAGTGTGATATGAGCAGACCAACACTTTACAAAAGTCATTTTGGCAGCTGAGTGAAGGATTGATTGCCTAGGGAGAAACTTGAGGCAGGAAGACCAAACGGAAGGTGATTGCAATAATCCAGATTAGATCTTCTTCTCCTTCCAAAGACATCCAGGGAGGAGTAAGTAGTCCCTCCCCTTGTCCTAGATCTGGTACATATACTAAGAGTAAGTATGCTAATTGTGACAAACCCAGAGACTGATAAGGGGACAACTGCTTCCGGTGTCAGGGGGCACACTCCAAAAAAGACTAAATTAGGGGAAAGGTCTGCGTAGTAGAGGGATCAGTCCCCAAAGTAGCCTGAAATGAGTCGGGGGAAGTCAAAGCAAACCTTCACATCAGAGAGCAAAAACAGCAAATGAACATTTTAGACAGCAGCCCCTTGCTTAACGCCTTTACCGACATTATTTCCCACCCCACCCACCTACCGCCCCCAGCCCTTATTAACGAGGCAGCTGAAGCTCTGAGGTGAAGTGACTTAATTCTTAATGTGTTGGGGTGGGATCTGAACCCCAAGGTCACAGTGACCTCCCCTCACTCTTGGGAGAATGGATGGGAAAGATCCCGCCCTGGGGCTCCCACCCTCACCGACTCCAGAGCTGCTGCAGCGGGGCCCCAGGGCTCCCTGGGACCCCCGAGGCCCACCCGGGGGCCCCTGCCGGAGCTCGGCTCCAGAGGCCCACCTAGGCCCCGTTTAGCACCGAGTTACCTGCCCCGTTCCCCTTCTGCCGTGGTCTCTTTCCTCTTCCTCCTCCTCCCCTCCTCCTCTTCCTCCGCCGCCCGTCTCAGGGTCACCGGGCCATCTCAGCAGCGGCTTCTTCCCCCTCTCCTTCCTCCTCCCTACCTAACACCCTTTCTCACGACAGGAATGTGCTTTTCCCTGAGCTTGTTTGCAAGGGGAAAGGCAATAGGCGCCTTCAGAAATCACATACTCAGGTAAAGGCCCCCCAGTCCAGATGAGGGGCGCATCCCCGCCCCCAGGGAAAAAGGGAGGGGGTCAGTCCCGTCCCATAAGGGGCGGCTCCTGCCTTCCCGCCAGTACCTGAAGCCTCCAGTTCTCGAGAACCTTAGTCCTCGAGGAAAGCGCGGGAAGCAGCGAGGGAACCTCTGCGCACGCGCCGACCTAGTGGCCACGGCCCTGGGGCTCGGACTAAAGACCCAGGACACGTGCCCGCCACGCTCTAACCACCAGTCTTTCTCAGTCCACGTGTCAGCCTCTCCCTCGAGAAGCTGTCACGTGGGCTGGCCTTTTCCCTCCCTCTCTACCCCGAACCCCCCTATTCAAATCTATCCGAAAGTACCGCCCTCTATCCCCGGTTCTGGGTTCCCATTGGCTTGGTCCCTGCCCAGTGTCTGGTTAGCGCCTTCAAACCTGGTTGTCCTTTTCCATTGGTTGAGCCGCATCGCGGGCTACACCTCCTCGACCTCACCTATCCACTTGTTTTTGCAGCGTCCCGCCCTGTGGGTAGTCTTCCTCGCTCACATTGGCTGAGTCACGCCCCTGACCCCGCCCCTGAGGTAGTCTCATACTCTCATTGGGTGGATCTGCGTCTGGACCTGCCTCCTGGCCGGCTCCGGGCTCCCATTGTCTCCACCGCTGCCGCCTGGTCCCCGCAACAGTGCTGGGCAATTGTGTTTTCCAGGCTCGTTCTTTCTCTGGCCAGTGAAGTGGTCCCACAGCCCGAGCTGGCTCTGCACACCCAAGTGGTTCTTCCCTCATCCTTCGGACCCACTCCCGTTCCCCGAGGCAGTCGCAGTCATGTCCTCACTGCGGCCCCTTCTGCTCCTGCTGCTGCCCCTGTGCCCCGGGCCGGGGGGCGAGGCCAAGGCCACGCGGAGCTGCGCTGAGACCCGGCAGGTGCTGGGGGCCCGGGGTTACAGCCTGAGCTTACTGCCTCCCACACTGATCTCTGGTAAGGGGAGAACAGGAAGACTGGGGAACAGAGTCTTTCCTGTCCCATTGTAGCCCATCCTTAATAAAACCACTCCCTATCCCCTAACAATATCCTCTTTAGTTATTCCATAGTAACCCCACTTCCTTGAAGACCCCCTTGTGCCCCAGGCCCATGATAACTGAACCCCCTGTCCTAAAGCCCCTCTCCCCCTATTCCTGCAGAACCCTTCTTTTCTCCATGACCACCCTTTCTCCAAGACCATGACAACAGAACCCTCCCTTCCTCCACAGCCTCTCCCTCTCAATCAAATCTATTGATTTTTCACTCCTCCCATAGAAACTTCATCCATAAATCCATGCCTGTGATACCGACTCATAGCAATACTCTTCTGTTTCCACATAATCTCATTCCCCTATAACCCTCCATCCTATGAGACCTTTGAGGCCCTGGGAATGGGTTAAGCTAATGGTTGGGGGATGTCATTGTCCATCTGAGCTTCATTTTGAACAGAAATCATAGATGGCCATTGGCCAGTGAATTGGGGAATGCTGGGGACAACTGAGAAGGGAGAACAGAGTCAAGAGGAAACAATGGCAGGCATTCCAGCTAGGGAAGGGAAAAGATAGAGAGGGAAGAAATTTTCTTAATAACATTCCCGACATATCACTCTTCCTCAGGTGAGCATCTCCGGGTCTGCCCTCAGGAATACACATGCTGCTCCAGTGAAACAGAGCAGAAGCTGACTAGAGAGACAGAAGATACCTTTCGGGGTCTAGTGGAGGAGAGTGGATCCTTCCTTGTACATACTTTAGCTGCTCGGCATCGGAAATTCAATGGTGAGGACCCCAGTGTCCAAAAACCTAGTTTTATTATATGCCCTCTATGCTCAGGACCCACAATCTTTTCCCAACACCCACTCCCCTCTCAAGATAACCAGTTCTTCTTCCCCTAGCCTTGACGCTGGAACTCCGGATTAATTTCTTTTTTTTTTCTTCCTCACTATTTCTCTTCCTCTTTGCTCTCCTATCCTCTTGTCTTTTGGTCATACTCTCTTCTCATGCCCCTCCCCACTCCCCACCATCCTTATGTCTATTACAGAATTTTTCCAGGAGTTGCTCTCTGCATCTGAACGCTCCCTCTCACAGTTGTTCTCTCGCTCTTATGGCCGCCTGTTTGTCCAGCATGCACCAGTGTTCAGTGAGCTCTTCTCACAGCTACGTGGCCACTATCGGGGGACCAGTGCAGGATTAGATGATGCCTTGTCTGAATTCTGGGCTCAGCTGTTGGAAAGGGCATTTCCCCTGTTGCATCCACAGTATAGTTTCCCCCCTGACTACCTACTTTGCCTTGCACGCCTGTCTGTATCCCCAAATGGCCAGCTACAGCCATTTGGGGACTCACCTCGACGTCTCCGCCTGCAGGTAAGGGGCAGCCACACTCTAATGCTACAAACCTTCACACCTCTGTACTTCTTCAAACCCCTGATTTTGCTACTATGTGAGACTTAGTTTCCCCTAATTTATCCAAGATTTTGATCCCTTCATACCAACTGGATAACAATTCCCTCAGACAATAGCCTCTTCATTTTTCTCTACTCCAACTGCTGAAAACCTTACCAGCCTTGGCTCTCCTTAGATACCTATAGAAACCCAGGCTTAAGATCCCAAGATCCCTTTTCCTAAATTCCTTCCCATCTCCAGAAACTAACTGTTTCTACTTCCCCCATATCCCTTTCTTGACTAGGTAACTCGAGCTCTCGTGGCTGCTCGTGCCTTCGTCCAGGGACTGGCAATTGGAAGAGATGTGGTCAGCTCAGCACTTAAGGTTGGTAAGAATATTAGGGAGGAGAGCCCAGGAAAGAAGTGGGGGCCAGAGAGAGACCCCAAGAAAGAGATTTGAATTTAAGGAGATCCATGTTACTTACTGAGTTATGGTAAAAGGACTAGATCCCTTCTCTGTCCTGGGGTAAATTTCTACCCTAAGAGGAAGAAAGGAAAAGAGGCAAATTCCAATTACCACAATCTCTGACCATGCTGTGCCTATGATCTCCTTTGCCTCTTGGCTCTCTTGGCCTCTCTGGAGGTTATTTAGGCATTGTCCCTCATCACATAGCCTTTGACTAACAACATTTCACAGTAATGTCATATTACTAATGTATTATAACAAAATCCCATCATGGAGTGGTAAAACTCACTGTGACATGTTAGCTTTTTGTCCGATTTTATACTACTGTTTTTATGGAAATTTCTGCTGTTTAACATTGTTTCATCTAATATGGTGTTTTTATAGAATTGATTAATAATATCAGTTAGACTATGGCTATTTTGGAGTTTTGGGAGATTGATTCCTATGATTTCTAACTTTAAGTATGCTAGTAAATGTTTAACAATTGGCTCTCTGGTTGAAAAAAAAAAAAAGGTCTTTCTCCTAACATTTTTAAGGTTAATATGCATTATATACATTTTCTCCATCACTTTCTTAAGTCGAGACAATCAACAAAACAATAAGTCAAGCCCTGATTTATAGTATTTGTCAATTCTCAAAATATAAGTGTTCATACTAAAAACTTAACAGTCAGCTTTTGCAAGTCCATTTGCAAGTAACCATTGTTACTTGTTCTCAAGCTTTGTACAAGATAATTTTCCATAGCCTGGCATTTAAACCCAAGACTTCAACTATGTCTCATACTTCATTGAATCCTCTCCTCCAGCTAGACCAAAGGAGATAGTATCCCCTGAGTTCAGTACACCAAAAGTCATTCCTACCTCTGTGCCCTTGCTCTTAGCATTCCACTTAAAATATCTATCCTGTCCCTTCTTTCCACTTATCTGAATGTCACCCTTAAGGTCATCTCCTCCATGGTCTTCCCTGACTGTCTAATTCCTCAATGATCTCTCATTCTTCAGGAACTCCTACCCCTCCCATTGATACTCATCATACATTAGATCATTGTTCATGAACGCAGCATGGCATAATGGAAAGCATGCAGGGCTTACAATGAGGAAGACCTGGGTTAAAATCCTCCCTCTGATACTAACTGTGATTCTACCAAAGTCACACTGGGAAAGTGTGTCTTAAGCAACTTCCTAAGATAATCTACTAAGTCATAGGTTACAATTCTAGGAATTTCCCAAGCTGACAAAAAAAAAAAACACAGAGCCTTAAAATATCATCATTTATCTTTCAATATTTTTCTTCAACTAAACTGTACAATCTTTGAGATCATGAAGTATGCCTTACCCTTCCATTATTTCCTTTAGTGCCTAATACAGTGCCCTTCAAATTGTAATTATTTAATAAGTGTTTGTTGTTGTTGACGATTGATGATGATGGTGATGATGGTGGTATTCTTTTCTGCAGGTGCCAATGTCTGAAGCCTGTGTCCAGGCTGTGATGCGTCTGACTGGCTGTCCCCTATGCCAAGGGGCTCCTTCCCTGCGGCCTTGTCGGGGTTTCTGCCTCAATGTGGTTCAAGGCTGTCTCAGTAGAGGGGGCCTGGAGCCAGACTGGGGAAGCTACTTGGGTGAGAGGGGCCAAGGGAGGACTGGGAGGTGAGACTACCTGGGTAAAAGAGGCATTAAGTGGGGGGTGAGATGCTGAGAAAGGCTAACCAGGGAGTCTAAAAGGCAAATATCCTCACATTAAGGCCTGGAAAAAAGCCTCTGTGGAAAGAATCTTGGATGAAGGGATGTCATACTGTCCTATCTCTTCTTGTCCCTACTAGACACACTCCTGCTCCTGGCAGAGAGACTCCAAGGTCCCTTCTCCTTTGAGTTAGCATCTGAATCCATTGGAGTGAAAATCTCAGAGGGTTTGATGTTTCTGCAGGAAAACAGCGTGGGGATTTCAGCCCAGGTATCAGAAGAAGTCTTGGTAGAGTCCAGGGACGCTACCAAGGGAAAGTGAGAGTATTGCCATTATTACTGGAAAGGAGAAAAGGGGTAGGAACCAATTATCTTCTGAATTCTTTTCTTTACTCTACCACTCAGGTCTTTCAGGGATGTGGGGGTCCTCATCCAGCCCCCGTCCGTTCTCGGAGAGCTCCATCACCCCAGGATGAGGTCAATCAACTGTGGACATTTCCTCCTGAGGAAGAGTGGCCCACCACAGCTGCAGGAACCAATTTGCCCCGGCTGGTGAGGGAATCTCTTGACAGCAGATAGGAGGATGAGGGTGGATAAGGAAGGCACAAACAGCTGTGAAAAGTAGAGGTTTATTGGAGCTGCATTCCCCATAGCTCCATCTCTTCTACCTGTCAGGTATGGGAGCTCCGGGAGCGGCTGCAGCGGGTCCGGGGTTTCTGGACAGGGCTGCCCCTGACATTGTGTGGAGATCCACGGATGTCAATGGATGTTACAGAGGAAGCAATGCCCTGCTGGACAGGAGCGGGATGGGGACGGTAAGACCCTTTCAAGATATGGAGTAATGTATAAGCAAGGAACCAGAAAGATCCAAGTAACAAGGATTATCAAGTGACGGTAGGGATGGGGTAGAGATGTTTAGTGGTTAGAAAGCGAAGAATGGTAGGACAGAGAGAAAGGAGGAAAAGAAAACCATGCTTTTCTACTGTTCATGGCTCCAGGTACCTTCCACCTGTAGTAGGAAACTCCTTGGCTGAGCAGATAAAAAACCCTGAGTTGGAAGTGGATATCTCAGGGCCCAACCTCTCCACAAGGCGGCAGAGGCTGCAGCTGCGGGCAGCCACAGCTCGAATGAGGGCAGCAGCTCTTGGGCATGACCTGGACCTTCAAGATGCAGGTGAGGATCATCCCCCTATTTGACCTTGACTTTTGACCCCTGACTTGACACTGACCCTAATCTTTCTGGGACTTTGGCCTCTCCCCTCATTCCTGACGTCTTCATGGCCCATAGCTCCCACTGTTGATCTTCACCAAAGCTTTCAACCTTTAATTCTTAACTGACTTATCTTCCTGATGGCCAAAGTGAACCAGCTCCCCAAAGATCCATAACTATTTCCTATCCTTTTCTTGATCACTCCTTCCCCTGACATCTCCCTATCTTTCTGTTATGTCCCCCTAACATTGTTTCCCTGTCTCCATTTCTGTGTTCCTCTTCCTGTCCTCCCCACAGTTATGCGGAGGACAGTGTAGTCAATAACTAGTCTTGGAGGCAGGCAGGAGTTCTGATTTATAACTTCTGACACTGGGCAAAATTCATTTCCTTTCTCTTAGCTTCCTCTATCAAATGAGTGGGGATGGAGTCCTTTTATAGCAGGGGGGACTGGACACATTAAATTAAATAAATATTTATGAAGAGTTTACTATATGCAGGGCATTATGCTAGGCACTGGAGATACAAAGACAAAAATGAAGCAGTCTCTACCCTCATGGAACTTACAGTCAACTAGGGGATATAAAATGTATACAGATAAGTAAATACAAGGTAGGGAGTGGTGGCCGGGTTGGGGTGGTAAAGGAGAGCTCATAAAGTACCCTAGAAAAATTTTAGTAAAGAGAAACACTAAAAACTGGGGAGATCAAGGAAGGTTTCATGGAGGACATCGCATCTGAGCCAAGCCTTGCAGATAGATAAGGATTTTAAAGACAAATATGAGGAAAGAAAGTGTATTCTAGGTATTGAGGCTGGCTTATGTGAATGCACAAAGACTAGAGATGGCATGTTGGATTTGGGGGACAGCTTATCCAGTTTGATCTACAAAGACTTTTCCATCTTTGACATTCTGATTCTCTCCCTCAGATGAGGATGCTAGTGGTTCTGGGGAAGGGCAGCACTATGCAGATGACTGGACAGCAAGAGCAGCAGCTGTGGCCCCACCAGCCCGGCCCCCACGAAGGGATACTCCTGTGGGTAAAGGAAGTGGTGGCAGTAGTCGCTACAACCACAGTGGTGCCAGGAGCAGGGTGGCCTCGAGGAATTTTCCTACCCACCCCTTTCTCCTACTTCTCCTACCGGTAGCTCTGTTCCTGCTTGGGCCTTGGTAGGAGAGGGAGAGAGAAGGGATGTACCCCAGCAACTAAAAGGTTAATAATAACCCTTTTCCCCTCACTTCCCCAAAAGCCCTGTAGGAGGAACTAAAGGGAACAACTGAGGGCAGAGTGGGACAGCTAAGAGCATGGGGTGAGTGGCTGGAGGCCCAAATCCAATTGGACAGGAGGGTGGGAGTTAATATTTATTTTTCCATTTGATAGGGGATGGGGGGTATTTATTTTGGGGGGGCGCATTCTCTAGGACTTCTCCAGCCTGGGGCTGGTAGGGTTAATTCTTTGTGTGGATAGGGTTGTCAAGGAACTGGGGAGAAGGGAGGGAAAGGGAAAAATGGGGTGTAAGGACACCTTGATCACAGGAAGGAGGTTAGAGAGCAACATGTCTAAGTTTCTGAGTCTGTTGACTTTTTTCAGTCTCAGTTTCTTATTAAAGAAAAACACAAATTGAAAAAAAAAAAACTATCACTGTAATTATCCTGTCCCTCTTATCTATATCCCCATCTCCTCTAATATGTTTTAATTTTTTTTATTCTGCAAATAAATGGTTAATTTATTGGATATTGTGTGTGTATCACTTGATTACTCTATGTATCTAGTTCCCTAAGTCATCCTATCTTGATCCCACTGCCCATAGCAGGGACTTCAGAGCCTAATGTCTGGGTTCTTTCTGTATAGCGTCTGCCTCTGCCTATTTGTTTTTCTGTCTCTTAACCTGCTTGTAAATGTCTTAACTAGATCTATTCTTCTGACCTTTGTTTCTGCTGCTCTCTACTACTGATTAAGTTTTATTTGTGTTGGGATCTGTTTTACTTTTTCCCTTCACATTTCTAAAACTGAAGAGGGAGGGGCAAAAGCAGAGACTCAGAGAAGGGGAAAGAAAGATGCAAAGAGGAGGCAAGCGACTGGGAGAGATGTAGAAAGAGGAAAACACAGATGCAGCTGCTGAGATGGAGTCTGGACAAAGGGAGAGGGAGGGGGGAAAGAATCTGGGGCGGAGCTGAACAGGGAAAAAGTTCTGAAGAAAAAACCAAGTTCCAAGGAAGCAAGCTGTGGCTGGGGTGAGAGTAAAAAGGGGCTTAGCTCCCTATTCCACTCCCCTAGAACAATTTTGTAAGTGAAACTGGTGAGCCAAGAGGCGAGAGGAAAAGAATGAAGGGGGAGGGGAGTGGGCTGCACAGTGGGTGATAGGGGAGGTTTTCGGGGAGGGGTCAAACTCGAGCACAGAGAGCTGGTGGAGAAATACTACACCAATGGGTGGATGTGGGGCTCAGCTGGGATTTACTAGGACAGACAGCCGTGGTTGACATGACTGGAAAGAGGGATGGGGAGTAGGAGTAGAAAAGTTGAAATATGAGGAAACAGGAACTTGTGGGTCAGATATTAGGGTGAGTTCTACAAAGCACAAATGGTGAGAAAAGAAAGGCAGGTATGTCAAGTGGTAGTAGATATGGCATCTGTCCCAGAGACGATGTAGGCAGAAGGCTGTCAGAGCATGTCAGCATGCTGGAGAATGTGATTATAATATGTACATGTGGGAGCCTGAGGCTGAGCCTCCCTGCCCATTGACTTGGTAATTTGGAGATAATGGGAATATTTGTCCTCCCCCCGCTTTCCTCTTGGGATATCTGTCCCTATTTCTCCATCTTTCTCAGAAGCTCTGTATCAATGCTGCCCCATAATTCGGTGACAGACCCCCTAGTGAATTCTACCCTTTTCATCTCTTCATTCCACATTCCAGAGGAGCGGCTGTGGTCAAGGATTTGGAACCTCAAGAAGCGGCAATTTCTCCTCTAGTCTTTCACTCCCAAGGGTGGGGTGCTGCAGCAGCGTGGATTATATAGAACTGAGATGGCTGTCTGTTCTCTGCTGAGGGAGTGTGGGGAGAAAGAGATACCTGAATTTCAGTCCCCATCAGAAAGTCCCCTTCCTACATTCTTACCAACTAATCCCTCTCTTCCACCCCACTGTATCAGAGCCCTCTAACCATAGAGACTTTTCCCTATCCTCATTTTCCTTCTCCCTACCAAGTACTCCTTTTCTCTTCAAAGAAGCCAAACTCAGGCCAGCTTGCTTTTTGGGATCTGGAATAGAGTCAGGGTGAGAGATTTAACTTGTTTTCAAAAAGCCTTAAAGAGCCGATGACAAGGTAAAAGCTATAGAAAAATAGACCTTGGCTTACTATGAAGAATTTCCTAACTATAATTAAAGCTATCCAAAAATGGAGCGGGCTGCCTTCTAAGTAGTGGAATTCCCTATCACTGGATGTCTACAAGTACAGACTGCAAGAACACTTCTCCAGGTTGTTGCAGGAGTATTTATGCTTCAGGTAGGAATTGGATGACATCAGAGGTCCCTTACAACTCTAAGATTCTATGGTTCTAGAACTGGGATAATCTCTCACGGACTGTTAACAGAGCTGACCTAGCTTTGTCTCACTCTCCATCAGTTTTCATCTGTCACTCTCCCCTTACTCTTCTCTAAAATCCCTCTAGGCACTGTAGTGAGAGGATAATCAGGAAACAGGAAGAGAAGTAGGAAAGTTAGGGATGAAGGCAGAGACAAGAGAGACAGATAAGGTTGGGAGGCAATCAATTTCCCCTCATGTGGGGGTCCTGGGTGGTAGAGCTAACAAGGGGCCCCATGCCCCCACTCTCACCTCCTGAAGGGCATGAGTAATAGAAAAGAAACCCAATTAGATGGGTGCAGTGAGGGGAGTGAAAGATGAATACAGAATCTATGAGGACAAGGGGCCTGAAGGCAATGGAGATCAAGGAATGAAGAAAGTGAAGTTACTCAGGTTTTAGCTACAGTCTTAGCCCCTTCTCCCAACCCCCACCCCCACTCCCTTCCAGACGCTGAGGGTGTAAAAAATCTGCCAACTCAGGAAACATCCACAGCCAGAGGTATGAAGGAATGAGGAGGGGGAATGATTACCCATCTGGAAACAGCTCAGATTCTGTATGCCTTTTTCTAAATCTACCAATTTCTCTGTCTGTTTCTGTCTTACTCGACGTTTCCATTCTCCCATCAGGATGATTCGTCTTTGGCTCTGGGGGTCCAGGGGCCTCTGGGTTGCTTTGATAGTCTTCGTGACCATTGGATTAGTACTCCAGATTTGGCAATGGCCCTTCCAGAGGAGGTGAGTTCCCCATACTCCCAATGCCCCTTTATTACTGGCTCCAGACCCCAATATTACCCTTCCAGTTTCTGAGCCCTCTGGATGCAAAGGAAAAGGCTCTAGCATAATGGGGACTACCCTAAAGAAGGATCTCATGCTCTCCCTGACCTTTTTCCAGATAAAATCAAATCAACAAATATTATATGCCAAATATGTGCAAGGCATCTCTTACTGTCTTTCTCCCCTTTCTCCAGGCCTCCTGGGCTATATTTTCCCCAACTGTGGGCCCCTTCCTCTGGCTCTTCTTTGGCCCCCTCCTGTCATCCTCAGCAGCAGCTTGTATTCTTGAAGACACATAAGTCTGGAAGCAGTTCTGTACTAAGCCTTCTCCATCAGTATGGGGACCGGCACAGCCTACGCTTTGCCCTCCCTGTCCGTTACCAGTTTGGGTACCCGAAGTCCTTCCAGGCAACTTCAGTCAAAGGTTACCTCCCCCATGGTGGGGGACCCCAGCCTCCCTTTCACATCCTCTGCCACCACATGAGGTTCAACCTACCAGAGGTAAGATTGATAAGGGTGGGGGGAGTGGGAATGGAAGCAGAAGAAATAGGGTTCTCTTTACCTGTTGCTTCTTTCCTTCCACATTAGTTGCTCCAGGTCAAGTTCTGACACTCCACCTTCACCTGGTTCTTCCTCTAAGAATTTCATGTGTACTTTTACCCTCTTAAGGTCTCCTCATTCCTTGTTGCCTCCCTTCAGATCCTTTAAGGTCTCTTTCCCTTCCCCATACTCCCACTTGTTACCTCATGCCCCCTCACAACCTGTTTCTTTCTATTACCTCCCTTTTCCCCTTTTCCCTCTGGCCTAGGCCCCCAAATTATCCATTTCCTCCCGACCTGTTTTCTTCTCAACTATTTCTGTCATGTCCTCAATGGTCCCCTGTGCACTGCATCCTGTTTAGGAGGGAGGCTGGAAGGTAAGGAAGCAGTCCTCACCTTCAGGAAACTTCCATTATGAAGAAAACATGACACACAGGAAAAGGGTTTAGGATAAAGAATTATAGTGAAAAGAGAAATGTAGATGTTGAGGGAATGCAAGCAAAGGAGAGAAAGCTGAAGGAGATTCTACTAGATGTACTAACTAAAGACAAACTGATGGCAAGGAAGAAGGCAGGCACTAGAAGCAAAAGGTGTTAGAGCTAGAAAGAACCTTAGCGTATATTTAATTCAACTTCTTCCTTTTATAGAAAAAAGAAACTGAGATCCAGAGAAGGGAAATAACTTGCCTAAGGTAATAAGAGCTAGCGATAAATAGCATCTGGATTGAAGTCCAACTCTTGTGCCTCTCCAAGACTAGTGGAGGGGGTGACATGGGCAAAGTCAAGGATGGTGGGAATGAGTACATACATATATGGAACAGTAATAAGCTTATCCACAACAGAAGAGCTGTTCTGGGGAACATTAAGAATGGAGATAGATTTCTCTGGGTGAGAAAGAGAGAAATAAAAGATAGATCTTCAACGTCAGACTGAGTACGAATTTGATCCACTGAGCAAGTGTGCCATGATCAGAGAAAGATGTGATAATGATGATGAGGGTAACAACTGACATTTATAAAGAGCTTTAGGGTTTGCAAAATGCTTTATATTCATTCTCAGATATAATGAAAAGTATATTTGAGGAAGACCAGTTGAGTAATCATGCCATCAGCATCAATACAATTCACCAAACATTCATGGAACAACATGCTAGACTTTGGGCACACAAAATGAAGTAAGACACAATCTAATTTTCCTGCCCTCAAGTAGCTATCTAATGGGGCCAGGGAGGGGGGAGTGAGAGACATGTAAACAAGCATAGACTGCAAAGGAGAATGTAATATATGCAAGTATAAAGGAAGAGGTGTAGATACAGCACGGTGGAATCATGGAGATCTCTTTCAGTTATGGGGCATCCAGGAAAGCTTCATGAAAGAGATGGAATTTGAGGTAGGCGATTTCAAGAGAAATATGGATAAAATCCTTTGTGGGATGGCATGAGCTGTTTGCAAAACACTTTAGAGATATGTAGACAATTGCATGTGAAAAGAAGTATAATATGAAAGGGCAGGCTGGAGCCAGATTGTGGAGAGCCTTGAATGACACTTAGTACTTTTTCAGTAGGCATGAAAAGTATTAGAAGATAGGTAAAGCAAGAGGGGAGAGGAAGAAAGAAGTTGTAGGAGTTCATTTGGTAGCCTTCATCATCTCAGTAAAATAGGAAGTGAGGACATTTACTACAGGTGAGAGGAGAAAGAGAATTGGAGGCTTGAAAAATATAAGGTTTAGAACAGCTATGACAGTGAATGAGAGAATAAAGTGAATGCTATCTAGCCATGGAGGTCCCCTGAAGTTAATATAAATTTGCAATGGGCCCCATCAACTTATTTTTGTGAATTCCAGTGGCATTCAGCTGCTTGGGAGTAGGAGAAAAGAAGGTTGTTATCCAGAATTGGATTAGCAGAGTTGGAATGAGGGCTCAAGTGAAGTGCATGTTATTGAAATGACTGAATATTATTGCAAAACTGAATAGAGAGGGAAAGTACTTAAGAACAGAAGTGATGGAATGAATGAAGCATTTATTAAATACTTACTATGTGCACAGAACTAGGCTGTGGATACAAATAGAAAAAGTTAGATGGTCCTTGCTTTCAAAGAGCTCACATTTTAATCAGGGAAACAACAAATATGGAAGATTTCAGCAGCAAGATAAATGGAAAAGTCCCACTGTCCTTAGGGCACAGTGGCAAAGCAGATGTTAATGCCTCTTCTTTGATGTCATTTCCACTGACAAAATAAGTTTCTGATGTTGAACCATTTGACAGTTCCAAAAACCCTGGTGGCAAGAACTTTCTTTCCTTGCACTTCAGTAGCTATGGCTGAAACTCATACAGTGTAGGAGTAGTGAGTTACAAGGCTGCATTGCCACAGGATTTGCTTCCCAGGATGATGTCTGAGGGCACTGGGCTGTACACATTGCTTTTTCCAAGGCTGTTTGATTCATCAAGATCTGAAGGGAGATCTGAAGGTCAAGGGGGTAGTACTGGTAGTAGTCTGAGTTGCCCAGTCCATTCTGCCTCCTGTTTTTCTCTCTGGGTTCCCACTGTTTCAGCTGGTGGGGGTGGCTGTCCCTATCTCCACAAGAGCTGCTTCCCTGGATGACTGCTAAGAGAGCTGGGCTAGAAGCAGGACTTATGGTCTGGGAAGTGCCACTACTGCCTGGGCTCCTGGGCCAATTTGACTGGTGGTGGCAGTTGGTCAGCAGTTGTCACTGGTGATTAAGATAATGGGTCCCCTCTCCACCATGACTTCTCCCTTCAGTAATGACTGTGGGGACTGAGCTTGAAGCAGGTCTGGTGCTTTGCAGAGTATACTGCTCTTCCAAAGTCTCTTGGACACAGGGTTCCAGGCTGTCTCCATCAGGATCTGAGGAAAGAAAGTAGTCAAGGTGGTCATAGTTTAATTTGCCCGGTCCATGCTGCCTCCAGGTTCCTTTTCTCTGTGTGTGGTAGTTGGTTGGCAGTTGTTGAGGAGAGCTGAGGCCTCTTCTCCATAGGAACTGCTTCCCCAGATGAATTGGAAAAAAGGAAAGAATTGAGAGATCTCAGGTATTCATGTCAAGTTTGAGAGGAATGAGAAAAGAAGAGAAAGAATAGGCAATTACAGTCAGAGGGAAATCCTGGAGTTTAAGAAATCTTGGAGGTGAAGTTAAAAGTGATGGTGAGGTTTAAGGTATGACCACCCTAGTGGATAACTAAAATACATTCTGATAGGGGCAGCTAGGTGGTGCAGTGGATAGAGCACCGGCCCTGGAGTCAGGAGAACCTGAGTTCAAATATGACCTCAGACACATAATACTCACTAGCTGTGTGACCCTAGGCAGGTCACTTAACCCCAATTGCCCTCACCAAAAATACATACATACATATATGTATGTGTGTGTGTATGTGTGTGTGTGTATGTATATATATATGTGTATATATATATATATATATATATCTTTACTCATTCAGTAAACCTTTATTAAGGCCTTTGACAGGATGTGATATACTGTGCTAAGCACAATAGGCATGTATAGATAAGATGTAGTCCCTTGCCCTCAAGAAGCTTCCAATCTAAAGAGTCATAATTATATTACAGCCATGCCTCTGTTCTGAAGAGACTGATATATTTCCTTTCAGAAAACTTGTTACCAGAAACATCAATAATATATAGATGCCCTTTCTCCTCTTGTCTTTCTTTAAAAGCTCCCAAACAAGATGTGGCTCCCTGGGCCACTGCTATCTATGGGAATCATTAATCAATCAATCTACAAGTATGTATTAAACACCTAATATGTACCAGGCACTATGCTGAGCTCTTGGGAATGCAAGTAAAAAGAACAAAACAATCCCTACTTTCTTTTCTTTTTAAACATAGTTTGTGGTTTTCTTTATATTTTCTTTTTTAAATTTTATTTTAGTTTTAGTTTTAAACACTCACTTTTATAAGATTTTGAGTTCTAAATTTTTCCCCTTCCATCCCCTTCTCCCTCCCCAAGACAGTCTGCAATCTGATATAGGCTCTTCATACAATCATATTAAACATATTTCCACATTAGTCACATTGTGAAAGAAGAATTAGAACAAAAGGGAAAAACCATGAGAAAGGAAAAAAAAAGAGAAAACAGTATGCTTTGATCTGCATTCAGGCTCCATAGTTCTTTCTCTGGATGTGGATAGCCTTTTCTATCATGAGTCTTTTGGAAAACAATCCCTACTTTCAATGAGGTTATATCTAATGAGATGGACAAGTACAAAAATATATATGGCATAAATGAAATTAATAAATATATATTATATATGGCAACTGGCCTGGAGCCAGAAACACTCAAGTTCAAATCTGGCCTCAGACACTTACTATCTGTTTGACCCCGGGTGTCCCTTAACCTCTGTTTGTCTGTTTCATCTGTAAAAAGGGGATAATAATAGTACTTATCTCTCACGGTTGTTGTGAGGATCAAATGATATAACTGTAAAGCACTCAGCATAGTGCCTGGCACATAGGAATAATATAAATGTTGGCTCTACACATTTTTTTTCAGTCACATCCAACTCTTCATTACTCCATTTGGAGTTTTCTTGGCAAAGATACTGGAGTACTTTGCCATTTCCTTCTCCAGCTCATTTTACAGATGAGGAAGTTGAGGCAAAGAGAGTTAAGCGGCTTGCCCAGGGTCACACAGTTAAGAATCTGAGGCCATATTTGAACTCTGGAAGATGATTCTTCCTGACCCAGGCCTGGCATTCTATCCACTGTACCACCTAGCTGCCCAAATGTCAGATATCATTACATTATTACACACAAAGTAATTAAATACAAGGTAATTTGGGGGAGAAAGAGCAATAGCTAATGGGTGGTCAGGAAAGGCTTCATGCAAAAAATAGTTGCATCTTAAAGGATTATATCAGGTAGAGAAAAGGAAGGAGTGGTGTGGGGGACCAATACAGGAACAGAAACACTCTCAGAAAGCCAGTTTGGCTAGTTTGCAAAGTATGGGGGGGCGGGGGAGAGGTAGATAATGGCCAAAGAGTCACTTTTTTAGGGACCCTGAGGCTGTATCCTGGCCAATGTAACCTCTCCAAGGTAATCCAATGTATTATTACTCCCAGTTAACTTAACCATTTGAGACCCTAGAGAGAGGCCCACCTCTCAGCAGAGATCAGGCCTTGACTCATCTACCCCTGAGATGCCTGTAACTGAGATACACCTTCTTCTTTCTTAGCTTTTTCATCCACCAACCTAGTGCTGAAACCAGAACTTTCTATCACTCTCTCTATACCTAGATTGACTTTGTTTAAACAGGCTTTGTTCCTAGAGGTGCCTTGTTAATTGAGATGTCTCTGTACAAGTTATACATGCCTTGCAAAGTGCTATTAAGTCAAAGGAGCAAATTATTTTTGACTTGGGGTGGTCACAACCTGTGCTTTGAATGACAAGATAGAATTTTAATAGGTAGAGCTTGGAGAAAGAATATTGTAGGTAAAGGGAATGTATGATAGGAGCAAAGCCACTGGGCCAGGAAAAAACACAAGGCAAATTTAAGACATACTGAGTAATCTGGTTTGAAATTTAGGACAAGTAATAGGACATAAGGATGGACAAACAGGTAGTGGTCCAATAGTGGAGTCTTTGATATCATGCTGAGGAGTTTAGATTCTTTACCGAGACATCAATGAGGGTTTTTGAACAGAAGACTGCTCCAAAGTGGGGATTTAGGAAGATTAATCTGGCTGTAGTGGAAGAGATTGGGGTAAGGAGACCAGTTAGGGGGCTACTGTGTCACTACAATTGCTGATCAATGAAGCAAGAGTGAGACTGAGGCACCAGAATGATGTCCCACCTATTTCCTGACTCCCCATTTCTTTCTCTCAACATCCCTTTTTATGCTCCATAGGTACTCCGGGTCATGCCCCCTGACAGTTTCTTCTTCTCCATTGTCCGAGATCCTGCAGCATTGGCAATTTCTGCCTTCTCCTACTACAAATCCGTATCATCTGCTTTCCGTGCAGCACCATCTCTGGCTGCCTTCCTGGCTTCACCACGAGCCTTCTACCGGCCAGGGGGCCGTGGGGACCACTATGCAAGGAACTTGCTCTGGTTTGATTTTGGCCTCCCCCTCCCCCGAGAAATGAGGGCATTGAAGAGGCATCCCAAACCCCTCAAAAGAACCCAGTCCTCAAAGATACATATTTGGCCATCTAGCTCTGTATCCCAACCCTCAAAACTTGATCCCAACTCCCTCCCCAAACCTCCTTCCCATCCTACATCCCGTGTCCAATCAGCTGACCACTCCATGTCCCTCAGTCCTACTTCCATAACAGATTCAGTATCTTCATCCTTAATCCAATGGGCTCTGGCCTGGCTAGACTCAACCTTTGACCTGGTCTTGGTGGCAGAATACTTTGATGAGTCACTGGTGCTTCTGGCAGATGCCCTGTGCTGGGGCCTGGATGATGTGGTAGGCTTTGTACACAATGCCCAGGCAACTGGTATGAAGAATGTCAAAGGTCATAAGGGGGTCAAAGATCATGGTAGAATCAAGGATAAGCAACTGGCTGCTCGGGCTAGAGCTTGGAACAACCTAGACTGGGCTCTCTATGTCCACTTCAATCACAGCCTATGGGACCGTGCAGACCGTTATGGGAGGGTGAGGCTTGCTTCAGCAGTAGCCAAACTTAGGGCCCGTAGGTCAGCATTGGCATCCCACTGCCTTTTGGGGGGAGGAGCTGTGGACCCTGGTCAAATAGCTAACCTCCAGCTTCGTCCTTTCCAGTTTGGGGCCCGGGGGGTTCTGGGCTATGTACTGAAAAAGGGGCTGAGCCCCCAAGACCATGAAAAGTGTGAGCGCCTTGCTACTCCAGAGTTGCAGTATAAAGACAAGCTGGATGCCAAGCAGTTCCCCAAAGCTGTTCAGTCACCATCCCACCCTCCTAATGCCACAAGCCCAGGCCCCAAGGGCAGCTGAGACTAGAAAGGAGACACACAGAAAGGAGAGACACACAGAATCTAACAATAAAAAGGCTGGGGTAGCCAAAGAGGGCAAGGAACAAGGCAATCTGCTGCTACAGATCCTGCAGCTCCTTGGGAGCAAGTGCCAAACAGGGCCACACTGCCTCCAATGCCTCAACTCTTTTCCATTCCCCTTAAGGTTCCAGATATCTACCCCTTATCACCTCCTACCCTCTCTGCTTCCTTTTCAAGCCCCATGGCAGGCTCCATGTAGCAACTCTCAACTCCCTGGAGGGGTCAAAAGGTTAAAAGTGGTGGAATCATGTGAAATAAAGAAATTCTGAAATTTACCATCATGCTGAAATGCCAGTTCATGCTGAAATTTGAAGGGTGGAATGTGCTGAAATGAGAGCTGACATACATTTAGCATTTCATATACATTATTTCACAACCCCATTAGGTAGGTACTATTGAGTTTTATCCCCATTGAATATATGAAGAGAAAGGCTGCTTAGCACACAACACAACTCTGCTACATTCTAGATGTGTGACCATGGACAAGTCACTAAACCTTCTCTGGGCACTGGCCAGCGCTCTAAGATGATACATCACAGATCTGCACCGAAGGAAGGGGTTAACCACACCAGGGGTTCCACAAACTGGGAAAATCATATAAGTTCTGTGCCTCCACCCATCCCCCCCCAAAAATGCGTTAAGTGATGCTCAGAGGTTTTGAAGTCTTCCTGTCTCATATCCAGCATTCCCAGGCTGTCCTTATGGGTCCCCGGAATATTGGGGGGGGGACGGCGCCACTAACCGAACTCACAATTAATTAACCTCGGGTTTCACCGAGGTCTTCCCAGACAGATTCGGGAGAACCCCGGAAGCCCCGCCCCTCTCGTCATTTCCGGTTTCTTCCTCTACTCCCTTCGGTGCCCCCCCGCCTCGCCGGGTTCCGGCCCCGCCCCTTCTTGGTTCCGGATTTACTCCGGGCGGGACCCTCGCCCTGGACCGGCTCCCGGGGCCGACGCCCCCGCCCCTCATCCTCCGGCCTCCGCCCCGCCCACTCGGCCCCGGCTCTGGATCTTTCCCCCGCAGCATTGCGGTCTTGGGTCCCGGGGCGCCCTCCCCCCCGCCCCGGTCCCAGACTGGGCCCGGCCGCAGCCCATGGAGTCCCAGTGCGACTACTCGATGTACTTCCCCGCGGTGCCGCTGCCCCCCCCGGGCGGAGCTGGCCGGGGATCCGGGCCGCTACCGGGCTCTGCCGCGGAGGAACCACCTTTACCTGGGGGAGACGGTGCGCTTCCTGCTGGTGCTGCGCTGCCGAGGGAACGCCGAGGCTGGTGCTGGGGGCGGGCCCGGGGCGCTCCCCGGAGGCACCTGGGCCGAACTAGCCGCGGCCCTGGCCGCACTGGCCTCGGTCAGCGCCGGAAGTGGGGCAGCGGGCTCCGCAGACCTGGACGGGCAATGCTCCGGGGCTGCGGGGCTGTTCTCGGACTGCAGCCCCCTTCTCACCCATGGCCCTGGCCCTGCCACAGGCGGTGGAACAACCATGGTGAGGAGCAAGGGGTGCGGGTGCCCATGAGGTAAATGCGAGGGGTGGTGGGGAGGCTGAATATTGGGGGAGAGGTCTGGGCGTGGGCGCTGCACACCAGGAAGGGGGTGGGACTTAAGGCTCCAGACCAAAGCTCCTTTACGCCTTGCTGACCTCTGTGAACTCGCCCCCCCCTCAGTTGCCTATGGAAGAACCAATTGTGTCCACAGATGAAGTCATCTTCCCACTAACCATTTCACTGGACAAACTACCCCCAGGCACACTTAAGGCCAAGGTGAGATGGGGAGGGTGCTGTTGCCCACCAGACAAACTCTCCCCTCCCCAGGAGTCCATCTGTCTGTCTCTCCCTCATCCAGATTGTAGTTACTGTGTGGAAAAGGGAGGTTGAGACAGCAGAGGTCAGAGATCATGGCTACCTGAGATTGCTGCAGACCCGGGCCCCTGGGGAGACATTCCGAGGGGAGCAAAATGCATTCAAGGCCCAAGGTGTGGAGTTTATAGCCATGCTAGGGAGAACGGGCACACGTGTTTGAATAACTAGTGGGTTTGGGAGGAATGGGGTACATTTTTAATTGCCTGGTCGGGGAAAACAATATAACCATTGGGGTGGGACCGTGTGATGGGGAGGAGATGAAGCAGCATGGATCTACAGCCACTAGACTAATCCACATTTCTTTCCTTCCACTTTACAGTGAGTACCTTGCTGACCCTACTGCCCCCTCCGGTTCTGAAATGTCGACAAATCACTGTGGCTGGAAAACACCTGACAGTGCTCAAGGGTGAGCAGGCTGGCTGCCTGTGTTCCATGGGGAGAGATGCTTTGGGGGCCTGAATGATTGGATCCAAGATAGGATGTTTGGGGGGAGGGGAGTTAGGGTGGAGTCCTTAGGTTATAAAGTTGGGGTTCAGGTGCTCTGAATTTCAACAATCCAGTTAACTCTTGCAGTGCTGAATAGTTCCTCACAAGAGGAAATTTCTATCTGGGACATCCGAATTCTCCCAAACTTCAATGCCAGTTATCTACCTGTCATGCCTGATGGTTCTGTGCTGCTGGTGGACAATGTCTGGTGAGGCTGAGAAGAAGGGAACAAGTGGGAGGAACAGGGTAGAGATTTAGAAGTGTCTGTTATATAGGGAGTTCATATACTATCCCTTTTCCCTCCTGAATTAGTCACCAGTCTGGGGAGGTCTCCATGGGCTCCTTTTGTCGTCTCCCTGGTTCTTCTGTCTGCTTCCCATGCCCCCTTAGTGCTCTGGAGGAACATAACTTCCTGTTCCAACTGAGGGCAGGTGAACAACCCCCTCCAAAAGGCCAGGAGGTAAGCATAGGGGGTGGTGTATAAAAGATTGGGATGTGAAAGATGATGAAATAGATGTTCTGTAGAACAAATAATGAAGGGAAGGTTCTCTGATGAATGCCTGTTCCTTTTATTTCTTCCCTTTCATAGGGTCTAGAGGTATCTCTGGTTGCTATAGTTCAGTGGTCTACACCTAAGTTACCATTTACCCAGAGCATCTACACCCACTATCGGTGAGTATGCCCCACTTCTCAGACCCCCCATGGGTAGCAGGTTCAATCTTCTGTCTCTGCAGACCTCACTTTCTGCTCTTCCTGCTTTCTCTACCTCAGGCTGCCTAGTATCCGCTTGGACCGTCCATGTTTTGTAATGACTGCCTCATGTAAATCTCCCGTGCGAGTTCACGAGCGTTTTACTGTTACCTATACACTGCTCAACAATTTACAGGACTTCCTTGCTGTTAGGCTTGTCTGGACCCCAGAGAATGCACAAACTGGTAGGTATTCATGCCAGTGTCAGCAACTAGAGTCTTTAAGAGAGGAAGACAGCTTAGGTCCTGGGGGCCACAAACCAAAAATAAGAAAGAAAGGTCTTAGAAATTCGGCTAACCTGTTTTTTACCCCTCTCTCTTGTTAGGAAAGCAGCTATGTGAAGAAGAGCGCCGGGCTATGCAGGCTGCCTTGGACTCTATTGTTTGTCACACACCTCTCAACAATCTCGGTTTCTCCAGAAAGGGTACTGCGCTCACTTTCAGTGTGGCCTTCCAAGCCCTAAGGGCTGGACTCTTTGAGGTAACTAGGGGTAATGGAGGTGGGGGGAGAAATAGGATATCCTGACAACTGGTGTAGAGAGGCTTTCAGAGTGGATGAAAAGATGAGAGCTGCAGCATGGAAGAGGGAGAAACTAGAGCTTAAGATTTCCCAGTAGGAAGGAAGATCAAGGCTTCTCCAGCATTGGAAGGGGGCTGGAATACAGAGGCTTAACTTCTGGTCTCCCTACTGTAGTTGAGCCAGCACATGAAGCTGAAGTTGCAGTTTACTGCCAGTGTATCCCACCCCCCCTCCTGAGGCCCGGCCTTTGTCACGAAAGAGCAGTCCTAGCAGCCCTGCTGTTCGCGACTTCATGGAGAGACATCAGGGTAGTCTGGGCCGGTCCCAGTCCTTCTCCCACCAGCAGCCCTCCCGAAGTCACCTCATGAGGTATGAAGCCAGGAAAAGGAACTCTCAGTGATGTTCTGGGTATCTGGGGAGGTTCCAGAACCAAGGCCACATTCTTCCACTAACCACTTGCTGTATACCCTAGGTCAGGCAGTGTGATGGAACGCCGGGCCATCACGCCTCCTGTGGCCTCCCCAGTAGGCCGTCCCCTCTACTTGCCTCCGGATAAGGCCATGCTCTCTCTGGACAAGATTGCCAAGCGTGAGTGCAAGGTCCTGGTGGTTGAACCTGTCAAGTAGGGAAAGCTGGATCCCTATTCCCTATTCAAACGCTCCTAGAAATTGGAAACCCCCTGGAAGGGGTCCTCATTTTGTGGCTGCTGCCTCTCCTGGGATGCCCTGTGGAACATGTGGGAGATAATGTAGCTGTCTGTCTGTGTCTGCTGTTGAAAGGAAAGGGTTTAAGTTGAATTGGGAACTAGGGCTGGGGGAAAAAAAAAGCCAACAGTATTTCCTTATGTTCTTGTCTGGGAGGGCTGGTCCCATCCCCAGTTTTGTTCCCCACTCTCCCTTACCCCCCTTTCTGGTTCTAAGTTTACAAAATATTTTCTTATGCCTATGACATTCCCCTCCCCCAACCAGCAGGGGCGAATTTGGAAAATGGTAATGATTCAGTGGATCTCAACGGTTGCCCCCTTCCTCAGACTCAGGTGGGGGGGGGCGGCAATGTTATGTTTCCCTCCGCTCCCCCAATTCATGTTTATATCCTGAAGCACTTTAATTTAAAGGTTTTTGTCTGTCTGTGTAATTTCTTCATGTCTCCTCCTACTGCTTCCAACTGAATTGAGACCATTAAATGTCTGCCCAGGAGGAAGGAGAAATTAATTGCTGTTTGTCTATTAAAAGAGTGGCAGAAGTATCAGGGCTGGGGTTATCATGGGCCAGTCACTTTACTTCCTGGGCCTATTTCCCCGAGATCAGACTAAATCGTCTCTAAGATCCCTTCCAGCTATAAACCTAAGATAGTACTATTCTTAAGAGAGGGAAGAAAGAAATAGGACATATCCACACACACCTCAAGGGTACTAGTGTCAGACACCATGTTTATTGGAAAGAAGGGAGAGTGTCCCTGCCCTGATCCCCTTTAACACTGAGAAAAAAACCCAACCCTCTGCTTCACTGAGCAGGGATGGGGAAAAGAGATGAAGACAAGGCAGAATGCCTAGTTTCTATTAGGGGAATTGGTAAAATCAGGTATGTGGAAAAGCAGTAAGCTTACAGAGATACTCTCAACCTTCCCCTCCAATCCCCTGTAGTCTCAGACATTGATGGGTTCACGGCTGTGATTCTGTCTTTTCACCACAAACACCTTCTGTCCAGACACAGTCACCAACAACGTGTGTTCCCCGAAGACCACTAGGAACAAAGGCCCCCCCAAAGACAAAATGTTGGCTAGAATCAAAGCCAGAGAACTCACCCTGAGGGTTGGGGAGTTGAGGGTGAATGGTTTTAATTAGGTAAAAAGGCAGAATAAGAATGGATAGGAACTTGGGGAAGAGGCAATGAGGGGATTTGTATTTTCTTGAGGAAAGGAGATTTGTGACAGTTCCTTTCATGATCCAGGGGTCAGGGACTTACCAGACAAGCGCTTGAAGGGCATGTCAAGGCCACGATACAACCGGAAACCACAGGCTGTGCTCACTAGCTCAGAGATTGCACCAGCTGCTTGTTCATCATTCTCCAAATCACCAGATGACTAGATGATGATAAGAGTTGAAACCAAAAATTAAGAGAAGGATCACATGAACAAAACAGTATTTTAATCTCTCTCCCCTCACAAGCCCCCCCCATACACACACTGGCTCTTTCTCCCTTTTGGCCAGCTTAGGGAAAAGGAGGGAAAAACCCCCCCCCCCCCCCCCCCCCAAAAAAATCTTTACTTGAGCCTGCTACCTATTCTGGTGACCAACCATATCATAACTTTTTTTTGCCACCACTTTTCCAATGAACCAGTGGTTTTCCTTTGTCCTTTCTCATTCCTTCCTCAATACCCCTTGCAATTTGGCTTCTGTAGCCTTCTGTCTACTGAAACTATGTGCAAAGGTTACCAATGACCTGTCCAAACCAACAGGCTTCTCATCTCCCCATTTCTGTGGTCCCCCCAGTAGAAGATACAGGACTGTTTCATTTTTGTTTTTGTATTTCTAACTCACAGAAGGTATTTAAAGAATATCTGTTGACTGATTGTAACATCTAACACCTGAGCACCCTGTTCTTTCTAGAACACTATCCTCCCTCAAATTGGGTATCACTGCACAGACCTAGTTTAGCACTTAGCTCGCTCTTTTTTTGCATTCTTCATTTCTTCTCTAACTCCCTAGATGGAAGTATTAACTCAAAGGATCACTCTACTGGAGAGCCTCTTTATCAAAAAAAAAAAAAAAAAAAAAAAAAGCAAAATAAGTTTTGATGCAACTTAGACAGCCATCTCTTACAAGAGGAAAAAAAAACAATTCTGCAAAATTCATCATATCTAACAATACATGCCAGGTTCCAAATCCATAGACCTCCATCTCCAAAAATGGGAAAAGATGCATATCCCTTCATCAAAGCCAAGTTTAACTATTCCATTTACACAACATTCAGTTTTTATTTTTTTAGTTGTTCTTTGGATTTACATTGCAGTAGTCATTGTGGATACTATTTTCCTGGTCCTCCCTACTTCATTTTACATCAGCTTAATAAATCTTCCCATGCCCCCTGTATTCTTCATATACTGTTTCTTATGACACAAAGCATATTGCCCTATATTCATGTACCACAATTTATTTGGCCATTTCTCCAATAAATGGGTACTTAAATAAATGGCATATGTTGAATCATTCATTTTAAGGCTTTAACAACTATGTTGAAGGTTTTTAAATCTAGCATCTCCAGCCTTGCTTAATCTCCCAAATTCTAGACTCATCTCCCATTACCTACTGGACATTTTTATTTGGATATTCTATAGTCACTTCAAAGTCTAAAATAATAATGCCTTATATTCACATTAAATTTTAGTTTAACAATATAGTTGTTCATTGACTTGCAATGTAAATCTAAAGTGCATTAAAGAAAAAGGATGGAGAGAGAAAACTGCCTGACTATATCCACAAAGCTAGATACTATAAATTCATGGCCTCAAAACATCTGTATGCAAATACCCACGTTTAGGCAAAAAGCAAAAGAATCACAAGGAGGCAAGAGGATACCCATACATGGAATACGGCTCTGGAGAGGTATACCTTATTATTGGGAAATGCTGTCCAGGTCTTTTCAGTCTTGTCCGGGTCTTTGTGACCCTCTTTGGGGTTTTCTTGGTAATGATACTGGAGTAGTTTGCCATTTCCTTATCCAGCTCATTTTACAGATGAGGAAACTGAAGCAAATAGGGTTAAGTGACTTGCCCAGAGTCACACAGCTCTAGTGTCTGAGGCTGGATTTGAACTCAGGTCTTCCTGATTTTCGGCCCAGCACTCTATCTAGTCTGCCATTATTAGAAAATAGGCTTAAATTAACAATTTTCTTTGTTCCTCTAGGCAGTCTTAAGTCTAAATTCTGATTTTGAGTAGATATATCCTTTTCCAAGGATGTGAAGGGGAAACTGGAATTCCTATTCTTCATGATAGTTTTTAACATTACCTTTCTTTAATCAGGGGCAATACACTGTAAGTTCCACGGAGGCAGCAAAGTTGTTCTATATTTAATCTTCATTTCTATGTACTTAACACATTGTTTTGAACAAGTCAGATACCTTATAAATGTGTATTTTTTTTTGGTACCAAAAAAAAACCTTATTAAGGACAGATAAAAAGAGGTAGGTACCATCTATTAAGATGTTATTCTCATAAGGGATAGTCAAGGAGACAACAGAGGAAAAAAAGCATTTGGGTAACAAACAAAAGAGAAAGAAACCAATGATTTTGTCATCAAGGTACACTAGAGAACTACTAGATAGAAAAAGGAAGTAGATGAGTTCAGGAAAGATTAAAAGCCTGGCACAAGCACCACGTATCTACTGGAAACCTTTCTTCCCCGCCAAAAGCAGGGCAGCTAATAACTTTGATTTGCCTTAATTTCATCCTTCAAAAGGTAAATTAAAAAAAAACCCAACAAATTCTACATAGAATCTGATTCTCACTGAGGAAGAACTGTTACTGGGGAGTGGAAATGATAGGAATTGGGGGGGGGAGGGGAAGAGTTAACACTTCCTTTTAGAGTTTGTGATAAAAAAAGAAACTGGCCATAATTTTGCCAGTTACAAATCTTGTGGAGATAGAAGAAACGCCATCTCTCAGATAGGTTCTCTTCCTTGCACTCAATCACCACCTCAGGTAATTTATCATCTGTAGTACTGCAACAGTCTTCTAATTGGTCTCACTGCCTCAAGTCTTTCCCCACTGTAATCCATCCTTCACACATCTCCCAGTGTGTAACCTAAAAAACATAGGTCTCACCTTGCTGGACCCCTACTCAGTAAACTTCAGTGCCTCCCAAACTCCTTTGTTTGGCATTTAAAACTCTGTATAACGTACCCTCTTCTATCTTTACAATCTTCCATATTATTCCCATCCTTGTACTTTGGTCCAGCCCAACTGGCCTACTTGCTGTTCCTCACATGTAACATATCTAATGCCATGCTTGTGCACTCGAGTTTGGAATGCTCTCCCCTTTCTAACATCCACATTTTAGAATCCCTGGCTTCCTTGAGATTCAGCTTGAGAACCCTTTTCAGCAGAAGTTTCCCAGACTCTCATGGCTAGTACTTTCCCAAGTTATTCTGTATCTACTGTTATCTTGTATCTACCTGTTTATGTACATGTTGTATCCCCTATACATGTAGTAGAATGTAAATTCCTTGATGGCAGGGACTGTTTTTGCCTTTTTTGGTATATCCAGCACCTACCAATGTCCAACTCATAATGAAGTGCTTAATAAAGGAATACCGATAAATTGGCTGAAATAGAACAGATTCCCACTAAATGGAGAATGACTAAACAAATTGTGGTACATGAAGTAATGGAATAAAATAATGAATATAAAGAATTTCAGGACACAATGGAAAACTTAATATGAACTGATATAGAATGAGGTAAGCAGAACCAGGAAAATAATATACACAATGACAGCCACACAGGGAACACAACTCAATGACCAAGCTTGGTCCTCAAGAAGAAAATTTGGCTCCCTTCCCTCTTTGCAGAAATAGGGGAGAATAGGGGTGTGGAATATCATATGTACCCTCAAACTCAGTTAATACTGTTTGGTTTTGCTGGGCTTCCCCCCTTCCCCTTAAAAAATCTGTAACAAGAGCTTGCTGACTTAGGAGAATGGAAGCATTTTCAATAGTGTGATAGAAAAACAAAAGGCATCAATTTTTTTAAGTAAGAAAAAGAAAAAAAAAATAAGACACTGCTTCCAATAACCAGACATTTGTCCCTCTGTATTTTACCCTGTCATTCTGAACACCAAGCCAAAGACACTGACAACCAGGGAAGTGTCCAGAGAACAACTAGGATGATGAAGGGTCTTGAATGTATGTTATATGAGGATTGAGTGAAGGCATGTTTAGCCTGGAGTATAGATAATTCAAGGGAGACACTGTATCTGTGTTCAGATATTTGAAGGACTGTCATATGTAAGAGATATTACTTGTTGTTTGGTCCTAGAGGGCAGAACTGGGAACAATGGGTGAAAGCTGCAAAGAAGCAAATTTAGGCATGATGTTAGGAAAAATAAAACAATCAGTGCTGTCCAAAAAGTGGAAATGGGTTGCCCTGGGAGTTGCTGAGTTTCCCTTTATTGAAATCTTACAGTGGAAGCTGAATGACCACTTGCCATTTATGTTCTAAACAGAGAGATACCTTTGGCCATAGGTTCAACTAGATGGCAGCTGAGTTTCCTTCCAATTCTTCAGTCTATAAGTTTTACATGTAAAACTTACACTTATATGAGGTTTTAAGATTTACAAAAAAGCTTTCCTCACAACAACCCTATGAAGTACAAAGGACAAATAATCCCAGTTTACAGGTAACAGGTTCAGCAAGTGATGTCCAATTTCACAAAACTACTAAATCTCATACCCAGAATTCAAACCATGTTTCCCTGACCTCTCTTGCTGAGGTGAAATGATGGGAATCTGAATTTACTACTTTATCTTAAAATTTATGATACAGATGATGAAAGCTGGCTATATTCTGACATTCCCCCTTTAATTTGAGGAGAACAGGAGAAAGAATTGGGAGAGATCTTATGGACTAAATTCTACAGGGAAAGTGAGTCCAGGAAGAATGAGGAATTCTCACAAATGAAATTCTGAAGATCTAATAAGAAGGGAAAGTCAGAGTTGTCTGAAGAGTCTCATGTTCATAGGAAAATGAACAACCAAGTTAGGTTTTTTAAATATATGGACAGAAAACAGAAAGCAGGTAACAGGATGAATAGAAAAACATGGCTTGGTCCTTTAAAAAAGTGTCAGGAGGTGCCGAAACTGGTGAGAGAATATAAACATCAAAAGTTGTTTTCAGTCTTTATTTTTAAGTTATATTGGAGAAGAGAGGAAGAAAAGAGCGGGTACTTATGTAGCACTCTTTTGCAAAACACTTTTGAGTATATTCTCTTATTTGATCTTTATCTTAACTTTCTAAAGCTGATAATACAGATATTATTATTCCCATTTTATAAATGAGGAAACTGAGACTCAACAAATAATTACATGTGACTAGCTCTCCATCACAGTTTCTAAGTATCTGGGGCAGGAGATGAACCTTACTCCAACCCAACACTCTTTCCACTATACCATTCCCTAAGGATCAAAGAGATAATCCTCAGATTGAGAATAACACACAGAATAGATGAGACAACAGTAAGAGATGACAGAGATGGTCATCTCTATTTTGTTAGAATGTAAACTCCTCATGAGAAGGGGCTATTTTATTCAATCTATTTGTATCCTTGGCCTGACAGGCATGTGCTTAATAAATACTGACCATTTCTGTTTTCTCCAACAAGGGGACTGATCTTTGGACTGGAAAGGAAATAACCAATGATGGCTACTAGAGATGAAACCCAAGATGAAACCCTTAATGAGTCCAGGTCATCTAGGTAACACTTCAGGGTACTGAAAGAACTGGCAGGCATGATTGATAAGCTCAATGATCACTACACAACTGTGGAAAACGGGAAAGGTACCGTAGAGTTGAAGGAAGACAATTCTCCTGATTTTCAAAAGAGACTACTATGAGTCTAAAAACTAGTGAGTTTGACTTTGACTCCTGTCAAAATTCTCAAAGCTCTTATTAATAATGTAATTAGTAAAAATCTAGACAAGAAAGCATGGTGGTGCACACCTATTATCCTTGTTACTGGGGAGGCAGAAGATCCCTTGAGTTTTGAGCAGCTTGAGTTAAAGCTGGTTGAGTAACTGCACTAAGTCTAGCAACAATATGGTGGAGTCCCTAGGAGAAGCTGGTGCCAGCAAGCTGCTTAAGGAGGGGCAAACTGGCCCCGCTTGAAATGGAAGAGGTCAAAGTTTCTGTGTCAGTCAGCAGAGGGGTTACGCTCATTAGTGGCCATTGCACTTCTACCTTGGCAAAGTTGGGGAGAAAAGAAAGCAGCAACTGTAACAAGTCATCATGACTTGAACAAAAATAGGCCATGCCAGACCACCCTTATTTCCTTTTTTTGGACAGGATTACTAGGCTACTGAGCTAATAATCAAGGAAATATTGTAGATACAGCTTACCTGGATTTTATTTCTTTTTTCTACACCCCAAGGCAGTTTTTATTAAACGTGAGCAAATAGTCTATAAATCAAAATTTTAACATTTAACAATGGCAGGTTTCTCAAAGACAAATAAGTCAATATTACTGGTAGGCACCCAGTGCTCAGGGAAAAAAAAAGGAAGTGGGAATCTCAGGGCCTGACTCCTTTGTCTTTTTAATGAAAGGACATTTCTTCCAGGTGTCACTGGGAAGAAGCTTCTACATGGTATCCAAAGTGTCTACCTACCTGCTGCCCCACAAAATTTATAAAAAGGATTGATAAGTGAATGATCAGTCATTTCCTCTCCACTCTCATTGCCTTACACTGTCATCCCCATTCTCCTCAAAGCCATTGTTCCCTTTCTACTCCTCTCCCACCTCTTCAACCCTCTGAGCCTCAGTCAAGACACCTAGCTAGTAGCAAAGATGCCTAGGTTGCTTTCCCCATTCCATTTCTGAAAAGTACATGCACAGCACCGCTATAGGAAAAACATATAGGACTTGGAATCTGTTCCCGAGGTTCTCTGCACTGACTATAGTGGGTCAGGGGAGTAAATTTCTTTCAGGCTCTAAATGACCTGGTCCTCAATGTAATTAGAGATTACTACCTATCCTTCCCCTAGAAAAGCAAAAGTTATGAGGGCCTGAACTAGGATGCTAGCTGCCCGAGTGAACAGAAGGGAATGGATATGAAATGTTATACAGGAAGAACTGAAAGTATTTGGCAAATGACTGGAATTCTGGATTTGAGGAGAGAGGTAATGAGTAAGTCAAGATTTGAATTTAGGTGACTGGAAGGATAATAGCATACTAAACAAACAGAGGAGGAGCAGTTTTAGGTGGAAGAAAAAGTGAAGAAAATGAGTTTCATTTTAGACATGTGCAGTTGGAAGTACCTATGAGTCATTCAGGTAGCTCTATCTAGCAGGCAATCGGTAATTCAGGACTGAAGCTTGAGAGGGACGAACACACACACAGGAGTTATCTGCATATAGAAACTGAAAATGCAGAACTAGGCAAGGGTATATAAATAAAGAAGAGACACTCAGAATTTGGGGCCAAGACATGGATATAATCCAGCAAAGGATTCTGAAGAGCTAAACATCTAGAAGAAGAACCAGGAGAACTACTATGCAACTATGACAGCTAGAATTAACCCATCAATGAGCATTTATTAAGAACCTACTATGTGCCAGGCACTGTGATAGGGAATACAAGACAGATGCATAGATTTGGGAGTCATCTGCACAGAGATAATAGTTCAGTCCATGGGAGCTTAAGGATAAGGATTATGCATGCTTTGTGGATCAAACTATAGCACATATTTCAAATTAGGAAAAGCTGTAGGAAGGAAGAGATAAATGGAAGGGTCATAAATCATTAAGGAGTTATCAAGGATCAGGTCATCTCTTTCTACTCTTCTCCCCAAGACTTACCGCCAGCACTGCTCCTTCACTCAGTACCAAGTAGCCCAGCTGGTCAGGGATACGCTCCAGCCCCTGGGTCAATGCAGATGTCTAGAAGAAGCACAATAAATACGAGAAGGGAATAATCAGAGGGAAGAGAGCTAGACTGAGATCTTTCCTACTTACTTCCAAATCACTATTCCTCCTGCTGCTGATGCAACACTTCCCCTGTCCCCCTATTTTCCTTACACTATCTCTCCACCTTGCCAAGACTTTAGACTAGGATAAATAATTGCTGACATTTATATAGGGCTTTGCAAGCACTTTTGATCCTCACAACAACTCTGCAGGGAGTAATCACTACAGGTTAATTACTATGTCCATTTTAAACATAAGAAAACAGGATCAAGAGAAGTTAAGGGACCAGCTCACAGTCACACAGTGTCATAGATGGATATTTGAAGTCTCCCCTGATTTTCAGTCCAGCTCTCTTTTCATTAGGCTGATGTCCAATACACTCTTTCTACTCAGTGCCCAAGTGCCTTATTTCCCTCCATGTTCTAAACACTCAGATTCCCCTTCCTTCCCTTCAACTCACAACCCCAAATCTTCCCTTCTCGTTGAAGTGCTAATTCAAACAAAACAAAAGTTTATTATTCACTTACGTGAGTTAAGTTTTCTAATCTCCTTGCCTCAAGGCTCTCCTCTCCAATGTATCTTTCATAGGTGCCAAACTGATGGTCCTATGACACAGGTCTGACCTTATCCCTCTTCTGCCCAGAAGCTCCAACAGCTTCCTCTTTCCTCTAAAATAAAATGCAAACTCCTCCCTTAGTTGTTTAAAGCTCTACAATCTGGCTCCAGCCTACCTTTTTAGGCTTATTGCACATTATTCTCCTTTTCAACCAAGCTGGCCTGCTTGTTCTTCCTCATAAATTACAATCTGGACAATCTGAGGATTTTTGCATAGAATGTACTCACGGGATCATAAGGCCATCTATTTAGAGATGGAAACCTTAGAGGTTATCTAGTCCACCCCCTTCATTTTACAAACAATGAAAATGAAGCCCAGAAAGATTAAGTCAAGGTTTCACAGGTAGCCTCGGAGGTGGGAAATGAACCCAGGTCTTGACTTCAAGTCCAGCATTCACTACACTCTACCACACTGCCTCCGCTGATAACACTCTCCTCATAACACAACACCAGCTTCGTTCAAAACTCGGCTGAGTACTACTTTAGCCTGTTTGCCCCAGTTGCTAGGGCCTTCCCTTTTAGAAATGACTTATATTTTGCATTAAATTTGCTGTGCACGTGTCACTCCCCAAAAAAAGTCATTCCTTTGAGCGCAGGGCCTGTTTCCTTTTTTCTATCCCCAGCAGTTGGAGAAAAGCAGACCCTTAATTGCTTAATGCTTGTTGATAAATTAATTGCTAGGCACAGAAAGAGGAAAGACA